GACACATTACGTTTACTATATACACATATGGTCAGAAATAACTTCTTGCCTCCTCTCAACCCCCAGAACGGTGTGTCGATGGACGTACAAGAGACGTTAAGTGTGTGTGTGTGTGTGTGTGTGTGTGTGTGTGTGTGTGTGTGTGTGTGTGTGTGTGTTTGTTTGTCACCCTCAGAATAATGACCCAGCTATTACCTGCTAAAAATAAGACACCACACAGGGCAATATATTAAAAGGTATATGTGATGACCTGAATGATCCACTTAAGCCATGGATATTATTGGAATGTTCTCTCTCTCTCTCTCTCTCTCTCTCTCTCTCTCTCTCTCTCTCTCTCTCTCTCTCTCTCTCTTCATCTTTTTATCTGGAGAACAGAGAGAATCATTGAGTGAGTGAGTGAGGAGAGAACTGGTGGCTGTGGTGGTGTCGACGGCTGTGAGGGGAGGGAAGGGGGAGGGAAAGGGAATGCCAGTAAACAGGAGTGTATGAGAAAAGGTTGGACGTACACACACACACACACACACACACAAAACTAACCCATGCCGATTCTTGACCCTCACAGCCTTCAACTCGGCAGGGAAATCAACCATATGTATGATTCCCTCACCTGTAGCTTGCTGAGCTGTGACGTATAAAATGTTGATGAAAATTTAGTGATAACATTAAAACAAAAACACCAGCTTTAACGTGAGGATAATTGAGATCTTTATGTAGAAAAAATTGAAGCAAAAAATCACACTAATTATAAGTAGGAGTTGGTACGTAAGAATACACTAATGAAGAATTTTTGAATTGTATGTAATTATATATAATCGTCACTAATGAATGGGTTTCGTTGTGTCGTATTTCCACATGTGTTCTGGAGACAAAAATCCGACGTAGTTACCACACAATCCTCACCTAATATAATGGTGTCCAGTTGGTGTGTATGTTACGTGGTTTAATGCAGCCTTAAGTCTGCTGTGAAATCCTGGGTAATCCGGTGCTTCATCCTGACGTGAGCCAGTGTTGGATTTGGCTTATAATGCTGCCCTGTACATCGTGGCTGAACGCTTACTGAGCCGTGAGTGTGTGTGTGTGTGTGTGTGAGTGTGTGTGTGTGTGTGTTTCAGTATTTAGTGAAGGGATGAGCTTTAACCTGCTGGGAATTAACATGGGAAGGTTAAGAGAAAATTTATCTAGCAAAAACAGGAGAGAGAAAGCAAATTGGTTTGCTTTTCGAGTTAACTTTAAAGTTTAATTGCAACAAACAAATAAAAATAAGAAACTTTTGATAATTTAGAACTTAGGATTTTTATAAGTAGACTACAAAGCAATAAATAATAACACTAAGAAAATAAACTAAATCCGTGTAGGTGGGGAGCGTGATGGTGGTAGGGGGAGTAAACCTGTTGATAAGTTTATGTAAATGATGATAAGTTAGATTAATGATCATGGTAATAAGACAATATTTTATATGCCTGAAGTAGTATGTAGCGGGAAAGTCTTACACGTTAAAGTTTGTATAATTAAATCGTAAAAAATAAACAAAAAACAAAGAAAAACAGACTTTACCAACACCTTCGCAAACACATACGATTCCTGGGACACCTCGCTTAACAACCCACGATGTAGGTACACCCACATGCCTCCTACACACACACACACACACACACACACACACACACACACACCATTAAAATACCCAGCGAAAAAGACGTAACCCATTTAGAATGTGTTTTTAATGATATGATAATTATAGTGTATCTGACGAAACATGAAGATAGAATATTAGAAGCTTCAAACAGATATAATTGTTTTCCACTTACTGACTCACAAAGGAAGAGAAATAATTATCGTAAGAGTTTTAATTATTTTGATTATTTTGAAGCAGAGTTTTGTTGTGCAGTGATTATTATTAAAGGATGGAGAATAGATGAAAGATTTTTTATTTATTTTTTTTTTTTTTTAGATAGGACTTTTGGGCAAGGATAAGTAGAGTTCTCCCCTCCCCCCCGTCTCCCCCTTATCGTATATAACAGGTTAGAGAGAAGCCTGAACACGTTAGAGTTGAAATGAGAAGGGTATTAGAAGTTTCTGAGATGTGATGCCACGAGAGAAAGCTAAAAAAAAAAATAAGTTACACTGACACAGGAAAACAAACAAAAAATTAATAAGATTGATAAAAACACCAAAAATAAGTATTTTACATTTATAAATAAGGAAACGGAGATATTTCGGCCATATACTGTAATTAGGAATGAAGGAGATAACAGCACAAGTATAAATGGGTAAACTTGAGAGTAGGAGAGGCTGGGGAAGGCAGAGACTAGGATGGATGATTGAGAATAATACATGAGTCCCAGAGAGATGTGAAAAATCTGAGAGAATGAGTCAAAAAATGAACACGAAAACATTGAGAAGGGAGGAACGTGGTCACCAACCCTCAGACAGACAGACAGACAGACAGACAGACAGATAAATATACTACAATCCTCCATCATTCTGAGGAGCGTGGTCACCAACCCTCAGACATAAGACCATATATAAAGAGGGTAGAGACAGACAGACAGACAGACAGACAGACAGACAAATACTACAATCCTCCATCATTCTGTCACATAACTTAATACAGATATAAAAGGAATGTTGAAAATCCTATATATATATGAGAGTTTATTGCCTTTTGCTCGGCTAAAAACAGCAACATCAGAGTGCCATAGGTATTGGTAACTCCCCTAGGCGTGTCTTTGTTGATATGGAATGTAAGGCTTTCGAGTTGTGTTCATTCTCCAAGTTATTCCAGCCTCCCTCACTCACTCTCAAGTTTAATGTTATGTTATGTTTATGTTATGTTATGTTATGTTTATGCTATGTTATGCTATGTTATGTTATGTTTATGTTATGTTATGTTATGCTATGTTATGTTATGTTATGTTATGCTATGTTATGTTATGTTATGTTATGTTACCTTCATTTTAGTTATTTTTTTACTGAACACACACTCTCTCTCTCTCTCTCTCTCTCTCTCTCTCTCTCTCTCTCTCTCTCTCTCTCTCATAAGTCATAGTGTAACAGAAACATTAACTGGTACTCCAATATAGTCCTTATATCTGGTCACTCAGCAAGCCAGTTAGCAATTAAAGTGTGTCGCACTGCCCAAGAAGGCTCTCACTCTACCTCACTCATCCACTTACACACACACACACACACACTCACACACACACACACACACACACACACACACACACACACCTCCCTTTATCACCAATACAGTAGTGCAATTTTATATTTATTTCAGGCGATTTTACTTAAGATATCATTAACTCCTAACTCATGTGATACCTGATAACACTGAAAGTCACCCTGTAGAAGTTAAATACCCTGTGTGTGTGTGTGTGTGTGTGTGAATTCTTTATATGACGCGATCCTCTGAGCAAGTCGGCTGCTACTGTGTATAAGAAGTGAGTGAGTGAGTTTAGTGGTGAGGTTTGAGTGAGTGAGATTAGTGGTGTGAGTTTTAGTGAGTGAGATTAGTGAGTGAGTTTGGCAGTGAGTGAGTGTGAGTGAGTTTTAGTTTAGTGAGGAGTAGTGAGTAGATTAGTGAGTGAGGTTTAGTAAGTGAGTTTAGTGAGTGAGATTAGTGAGTGAGTTTTAGTGAGTGAGATTAGTAAGTGAGTTTAGTGAGTGAGATTAGTGAGTGAGTTAAGTGAAGATAATTCAGGACACGACCAGGAAGAGAGAGGAGGAGGAGGGAACTGGAGGTTGGGTGAGACCTGTGGGGTAGAAGATAGTAACTCGCCTAAGGGAATTGAGATGATTGACAGAGAGAAGGGGAAGGGAGGAGAACGTGAGGTACTATATTAAGATCACCTATAAACCTCAGTCGTGTTTTGTTGTTGTGGGTTTTTTTTTTTCGTCTTAGTCTCAAGTCAATAAAGTCTCCATAATTGAACATATTGTCTTCCCTCTTCTTTTTTCTCCGTTTTCTTTCTTTCTTTCTTTATTTATTTCTTTCGTTTTGTCTTTTTCTTAAATAAACATCACATTCTATAAAAACTAGTGCTTTTACCTGTTAACTACCTAAGACAAAATCACTCCCAAAGATCATATAGTCAGGTACCCAGCGGTGAGTGAAAAAAAAAATCAACTCTATTTATTTATTCTCAGTCATAATCCAATTAAAACGTAATCACCCAAGCTACTCGCGTTATATATATATACAAATTTCTGCAAAATTACCACTAGTCTGCTAATAACATTTTCCCTGAAACTATGTATTATGCAAATTTAATTAAGATAAGACTACGAAACTTGGTCTTTTCTTTACACACATGAGGGTACAGGAGTCTTTTGAGAGTCTTGTAAGCTTAGTAATCGTTGTCCAGGAATATCTCTTAAGTCACTGAGAGGAGGGTGTTTATCACTGCGGTGTGGGTTGAGGGTAGTGGGGTGTGTGGGTTGAGGGTGGTGGGGTGTGTGGGTTGTGGTGGGGTGTGGGTTGGGGTGGTGGGGTGTGGGTTGTGGTGGGGTGTGTGGTTGAGTGGTGGGGTGTGTGGGTAGTAGTGGGGTGTGGGGTTGAGGATGGTAGGGTGTGTGGGTTGAGGGAGGTGGGGTGTGTGGGTTGAGGGCGGTGGTGGGGTGTGTGGGTTGACGATGGTGGAGTGTGTGGGGCCCATACCTCACCCCCACCACCTCTCTCCTTCCTCACCTCCAGCATTCCTCCCATCCATCACCTCCACCACACTTTCCCTCCCTCACCTCCAACATTCCTCCCATCCATCACCTACAACACACCTCCAACACTCCTCTTCTTCCATAGACTTACACACACCATTCCCTTAACTCCCCCCCCAAAAAAAAAATTAATCTTCATAAAACGTATTCAGTAAGTAACACTCTCCTCCAACGTATTCAGTAAGTAACACTCTCCTCCAACGTATTCAGTAAGTAACACTCTCCTCCAACGTATTCAGTAAGTAACACTCTCCTCCATCTCCTCTTGCCTCTTTTCTACACAGATCTACAGCAGCGAGGAGAGAACGGAACAGCTGCTACGTGTATCGGGCGACCTGACCTCTAGTTGGCTTGTCACCTCTCCTGACGATACCCTGGTGATCGACTTCATTAGCGACGAGTACACCACCTATTATGGGTTCCACTTGGCCTATGGTTATGATCCGAAAGGTGGGTGTTGGTGGTTGACTTTGTTGTGTGTGTGTGTGTGTGTGTGTGTGTTCCGTCCTCGTTCATGCACTGTAAATACATACATACAAACATACATGCACACATACATACCACACACACACACACACACACGTACAAACATACACACACACACACACACACACACACACGTACAAACATACACACACACACACACACACACACACACACATACATACACCGCACGCACACTCACGTACAAATCTATACACACACACACACACACACACACACACAGCATATTAACAGTATTAAAAAACTGACATCTACTAATTGTCGAATTAGTTTTTGCGGAATATATCAATCAACTTTTATTTCGACAATTAACCTTTACAAGGTGTGTGTGTGTGTGTGTGTGTGTGTGTGTGAGTGTAATGCCAGAAATCTATACAGGAAATCATTTTATAAGCGTCCAATCCTATTCTAGAAATCTATATAAACCTGATGACTATACAGGCTAGTTCACCTCGGGGATTCTCTATCACGAAGAAATTCAGAGTAAGTATGTCAGCGTGTCTTCTTCACATGCTAACTATCCTCTCTGAGAAGTGAGACGTCTTGTATTATAATGAAAACCATTTAAGTGATAAAATTATAACATAAACTCCAAATATATAACTTCCTAATGGACAAAATCCCACAAACCCGATGGTAAGTGTTGTAACAATATGCTAATGATGTGATGTTGGTTCTCAGCTTGTATGGAGGGAGGCGTGACAGTAGCGGAGGAACACCTGATAGCACTTCCTACTCCTAATCTCCACGGCGTGAGTATTAGCTAAGAAAAAAGATGGATCCTGTTTTTATCTTCCTGGCTTGGTTTTTCGTTTTTCATATTCCTCTTTTCTCTATGACCGTGAACCACAAGAACTGATATTTTGAGTGTTGGAGCTAACCATTTTCAGGTCGTGTTAAAAATTGCCAATAACATTTTCCACGGGTGATTAATGTTTACTAATGTTGTGTTATAGTATTACAGGATACATAATCACAGTTTTTTTTACCTCTGGCAACGTTTTTTCTTCTAGATTTTAACCCCTTGAGTACGATGATTTAACCTCTTGAGTACGATGATTTAACCTCTTGAGAACGATGATTTAACCTCTTGAGTACTATTTTTTAACCCCATGAGTACGATCATATAAACCATTAAGTCATCATGGTCATAGGATTAAGTCGTCATGGCCAAAGGGGTTAAGATTCATTTATAATATTTACTGGGGTTACTTAGGCTTCTTGTGAATGAAGACTCGGTTCCTGTATGCTGCTCAACCCTGCATCTGTGTGTAGCCGAACATAACTACTTTATTCAACAGTTAAGAACCACTCACAGGACACCGTTATAGTTTGCCCAAGGTCTTCCCTTTGGTGACAAAAATGAAAAACTCTGGTGAACGTCACATTAAGTCATCATCAAGCGTGTGTGCCGGGTTTTTATCTATAAACAAAGCTTCAGACACAGACCAACATCCTCGTCAAGACCTTACAGTAATTGAATAATCAAAATTTATTTAGATGGCGGAAAATTGCTTTATAAAGGCACAGATCGTGGTAGAGTTCCTTAGTTTAATTGCAAAGGAACTGAGGTAACTTCACAACGACCCACCCGCGAGTTGCCAACAATAGCCAATTTCTCAGTAACTGTGACGTAATGGCCAGTCAGGTTACGGGTACTGATCTACACAGGGACAGGTGGGGAGGGGGGAGATCAGCTAAGTTCTGAGACCAAAATACCGTCTGCAGTGTTCACGCTACTGTCCATATCTTCGAATATATTCACTCGATATTGTTTAGCTTCATATAACGATAACGAGAACAGCTCCAACAGCGGCTTTAGAAGTCATTTCAAACTTAATGTAGTTATACAGTAACTCCAGGTTCAATTTAAATACATTTGTATCTGTAAAATATTATTATAATTTTAAACAAGACAACCACAGTGTTCGGATACAGGCGACAACATCGTTTGTCACTGACCCTCTGATTGATCTACAACAAGCCATTTGCTAATTGGTTGGACCGGGATGACGTCATTACTAGTGTTGTAAGGTCCATCGCTGCTCTCTGGTGGCGCCACCTAACACCGTCGACACCGAGAAATGATCATTTGAACATCTTGATATATATTTATATATATCACCTCTGGTAACAGCTACCAGGGGTCACTTCCTTGTAATTAGCAACTGATATTGACAAAACTCCGTCAGTAAAGAGAGAAACTGTGTGGTGGGGACATGGCCTCTTCATACTCCGAGTGAAGGTTCAGCATTAAAGAAGTGTTATAATACCGGCATGGAGGATTAGGATTACCAAACGTAGGTAAACAAACCTAGCAAATATAATATAACAAAAGCTTAACCAACACTGTTACAAACATCAGCTTTAACCAACACCAGAACGATAACATTTCAATATCGTAAACGTGAATTATTGTCTTTTGGTTATCTTGGGCAGTTAGACAGTTTAGTTATCGTTTTGTTGTTAGCCAAGTTCTTTCACCTGAGTGGCAGTGTTATTTAATGAGTGATTAATGTGACTTATGTTTAGTTGATTAGTGAGTTATATGTTAGCTACCTTGTGACATATTCGTACGTATTACTCAGTGTTTTGTATGGGTCTTTATGGTAACGAGGACGGCACGCCATCAGGTAATAAGGCTAACCCACGCAAGTGTGGAAAATGGCTGTAAAACATTGATGATGATGATGGTGAAGTTAGATCATTGCGCAAACTAAACATTTCCACCGCCGCAGGTGCTGCCAGGGCCACGTCAGGAGAAGCAGCAGTACCAGATGGCGAAGCCTGACGCGGGGGACAAGAGGGTAGTGCCCAAGGGCGGCCCTGCTGAGCAGCCCACCATGACATGGCTGCCCCTGGCTCAATACCCGCTCTGGGCCAACTGCACCTGGAGAATCGCCGTCGACACTCGCAACATAGTCAAGCTTGATGTTCTCCGTTTCAACACTGGCACCAAGGACGTCCTGAAGGTGAGTGTCAGGGGAGAGTTGGGGTAGCGTGTAGGAGGCGATGGAGAGTACATGTAGGAGTGTGTTAGCAAGAGCATGGAGGACGATATGGCAGGAGGAGGATGAACCAATTCTTCGCTCCAACATATTGAGAATATTATTACAACATCGAGGAGAGGAACAAATAAAAACAAAGTTTAAGAGAGAGATTAATGGTTTAAAGTAAATGTACAATCGGCTACTACATTTCCACCTGGTACAGTGACTGGGGTATTTTGTGAAATGTGGCAAATCTCTTCTTGTTTCTGTCGTAGAAAAAACTACCGTAATGAACTAAAGGAACCTCGCATTAGTAGCCAGACTTACAATGGAAAATAAGCAATCATCCACTATCTCTGAACACCTGTCTTGTATATTTATAGTTTTAATACAGATGACCAAACACAGCGCCATTGGCTCCTATGTGCTGTTTACTGTGTGGGGCGGTAAGGAGACGCAAGTACTGGCGAGAGGGTACACCGTCATACTCTCTTGTGCAGTAAGCAGCCATCAATCTGTTAATGCTCATATATTTAGTTTTAATAATCACTAAGATAAACCAGCAATGCGTTAATACATCCTCTCTACTGTATTATATGATCAAAATACATACTGTTCATGTTAAATTTGGATTAAACCTATAACATGACGAAATATGCCGTCGTTTGGTTGAGAAATTGTATTTGTATCTCGTAAGTGATATTTGGTAATGGGGTAAATTGGGTGACATGACGACCCTGAGGTCCCCATTATGACCCTTAAAAAGCACACGTGTTGACATGAGAGAGAGATACAGTTCATATTATATTCACTGTCGACAACACCAACTAGTTATCTTCCTCCCTGTCTACCCACGTCTAACACAACACTGATGGTATTAATGTTCCCTCTCATTTTATTACGGGGTATAAACTCATAACACAAACATACCTACGAAGTGTTGGCCTGACTCGCACCACAACACCTGAGTCACACACCTGAGTCACACATCTGAGTGACCCACCTGAGTCACACACCTGAGTTATATACCTATAATATCTGACCTGTATCATTTCAGTATACAAATCCCCTGGTCGAATTCCTTCCGTTCATGTCTAAATATATTGTAAATACTGTCCTGTGTTATGAAGTCAGGATGCAACAAGGTACACTTCATATCCTCCAAAACACACACACACACACACACACACACACACACACACACAGCAGCAGCTTGGTCTGACCCACTTTCTCTTCCCTCACAAAATGACAACAGAGCTCCTTTATTATGTTCTTAATATTCTCATATTCCCACGTATTAGAATGAAGGAAGCAAGAGAGAGGGGATGTAAGCGAGAGAGAGAGAGCGAGAGAGGGAGATAAGAGAGAGAGAGAGAGAGGGTGGGTGTGTGTGTGTGTGTTCTATTCATCTTTACATACACAAATACTCTTTTTCTGTTGCATTTAATACCGTTAATGTAATAATATCACAGTATGTCTTATCTATTTATTTTCCATATATTCTTCCTTCATATTCTTTTTTTTTCATTATCTCCTCTTCTCTTTCTCATTATTCTCTTCATTCTTCAGTAATATGTCTTCTTTTTTCTTTACTCTACAGGTGTATGCGTCTCTTCTTTTGCGTTAGTGTCTGTTACGTCTCTTTCTTCTTCTTCTTCCTTCCTTTTTCCTTCGTCTTCCTTGTTCCTTCTTCTTCTTCTTCTCATAATATCAAACAATAGAGAGCGGCTTTAGTGACTCTCCTCACCCACAGATGGCGCTGACATCTATCAAGGGAAATTTCGAGAAGT